TCCCCCTATGGAATACATAGTCAACCCTGACTGATACGCTGGTGCACACTGACACAAGAGCCAGGCTGCATCAGGCAATTGCTGTTCCAGCTTGATGAAAACTGACACGGAGCAGCCACTGTAGGGGAAGTGTGTCAGGCCTCTGGCTGATGCTGAAATTTCTACCATGAGAGAGAGAGAGATTTCCCAAGAACCTTTAGGGCCTGATTTATTAATGCAATTCCACAGAAGCAAGTAAGTACAATGACTTAGTTTTAGAAGAAGAGTAAATGGGTTGTACTGATTTTGGTTCTCTCTGGAATATTGTGGGACAGAAGCAATCTACTGTGCAATACTTAAAAGTGACAACAAAGGCGTCACCAATATCTGACAGGCGAAAATCTAGCCTATGTGATGAGACCCCAATCTGGGAGCCGTCCTGTAAACACTGCCCCTAGAAAGAGACATACTTTTTCCTGCCGCAGTTTCCTTCCAAACTTGGAACATGAGACAGGTCCCATAGTGAGGAAGAGGCTGCAGAGGCCTCCCCTGCCTCCCTCCCTCCGCAAGGTACAGGACAGGAGCTGTTCTAGCCAGAGGAGATGGAATCAGAGGAATGCCTCTAGTAGCTCATCTCTAAAGATACGATATGCCTGAGGCATCCTCACCGTGATGTCTCTATGATCTAGCCCCACCGCTTAGCTCAGCAGAGAAATAAAAGCAATTCTCGAGCATCGATGTACTTGTTTTAAGTTCATATTTAGGTCTCCGCTCATTCTCATTTTGTAATTTCAGGGTAAAGGCAGGGCAGGGGCACGAACTTTTAACAGCACTGCAGGCGTTCAGGCAACCATGAAGAGAGAGCTGTCAGAAGGCAGTGTTTCTCAGGCTGGGGGACCGGGTGCACTCTTGAGGGTTCTACAGTGGTGGTTCTTACCTTGTGCATGCCTGTTTCAGTGGTGTTTTTAAATTCTGGATCATTAGGGGGATCGTTTTACAGACAAACACTATTTTATGCACCAAGGTGTTTACACTTGCGTCAGCATTGAGTGCTTTCAGCTTTACCTCAGGATCTTTGCATGGCCCTTGAACCCCACTACATCTTCATTCCCTTATCGATGGGATGTTCCTCTCAACACTTTATTATTATAAATAATGGTACATAAAGGATACGTACAAGTGTATCTTGATAAATAAAATACACTTCACAGCTATCCATGTGAAGGTATATTTCATGACACACACACACGTCTGCCTGTTATAGGCTTTAAGAGGGATGAAGTCTTTACAGTGTAAAAGGGTATGGCTATTTAAGACAGCAATAGCTATTGTGTGACTGTTCTCCTAGTATCGTGTTTGTGGCGGGGCTGAATAGAACCCAGGTTAGACATACTCTCTGCCGCTGAGCTGCAAACTCAGCCTGAAACCCAGTGTTTCGTATATGAGAGTTATAATCATGAAGGATGAGTAGGACTCACATAAGATCACTTCATTTGCTCCAGAGGGGAAAGAAGACAGAAAGGGGAGATTCTGACAAACAACACGGATGCTTGAATTCAGGAAGTCTACCAGTTTTCCAGCCACAGTGAGGAAATAGACTTAAAGCCCAAAGGAGGGGAAGTCTTTCAAGCAAGAGACTAGGCAGTTACCATATAAAGTCCATTAGCTGAAAATCCACAGTACACATTAGGCTTGGGATCCATGACCAGAAAGATGAAAAAAGGGCAAGGACAGAACTCTGGGACACTGAGAGCAATTGGAAAAGGGCATCAAAAAATTAGAAAAGTGGTTGACAAGTAAGATAAGAACTAGGAAGGAGAAACAGTGCAAATAAGAAAAGAAAAGGCTGTGAGAGGAGTGAAGGATGAGCTGACAGTGCCCTTCATTTCACTGTTACCAAGCTGGGCTGGTAGCGCAGGCCTGTGTTCTCAGATGCTTGGGAACATGAGGTGGGAGAATTTTAAGTTCAAAATCTGCCTGAGTCAGTTTAGGCTCAGAGTCAGTTTAGGCTCAACCTGGGCGGCTTGGTGAGACCCCGCCTCCGAGAAAATAATAAAAGTAACTAAACTTTGCAAAATGATATGCAGAATATTATATCATTCACATAATAAAAATTCACACGAAATTACTCATTACTTTCTTAACCAATATTTACTTCGTGTAACTTTATTTTTTTAATTGTGTGCGCAGGCGTGTGTGTGTGTGTGTGTGTGTGCATGACTACACTGCTCTCAGAGGACAGGTGGTAGAGTCCCTGGAGCTGGAGTTACAGAGTCTTGAAAGCCACCCACTAGGTGCTGGAAAATGAGTAATAAGTGGTCTTAACTGCTGCATCATCTTTCCAGCCCCATAACTTTTCTTTCTTCCTTCCTTTCTTCCTTCCTTTCTTTCTTTCTTTCTTTCTTTCTTTCTCTCTCTCTCTCTCTCTCTCTCTCCCTCCCTCCCTCTCTCCCTCCCTCCTTCCTTCCTTCCTTCCTGCCTTCCTTTTAGTTTAAAGTATTTTTCCATACAATATGTTACAGACAGACCAGGACTATACCATTATATTTGCAGAGAGAACAAGAAAAATTAAGATAGAAAAGAAGCTATGGCTTTGACAAGCAGGGAGTCATGATTTTCAGCAGGACAGGCTGAGGCAGGATGGTGACAGCTGAGTGCCATAGCCCAGAAATCACCTATCCTGATGAGTCATATTTGGTGTTAAATGTTTTATTGAGGATTTTTAAAATTAGTCTTTCATTTGCACATTCCTGAGAGTTGAGATAACCCTGCAGAAATGAAAAATGGATCTCCCCCTTCAGAGTCTGAGGGCACTAACAGATTGTTCTGGATGTGGGGGTGGGGGGCAAGGAGGGGAACATAGAGCACCAGGAGGGCAGGCCTTCACAGAAGGGAAAAATCAGACACAGGAAATAATATCTTATCTCCAGCTCTATAGCTGCGCAGGGCTCTGAAGGGCAAGAAAACTCCAAATCCCACACCACGAAGCCATCAGATAGCTGAGTCTTATTCTAAACGTTTCCAGGTCCTGAAATGTGGAGCAGTGTCAGGCTTAGGACGAGGAAGCCTACCTGCGATATCATAACCCCGAATATTTACTCGACTGACGCCTCGCTGGGCACAGCAGGAAACCACGAAGCAGCCTTGACCTTACCGTTAAAGGGCAGCCATGCTTGGCTTAACCACCAACCTGCTGGCCAGTGACAGTGATTAAGAGCAGCCTAGGGGAAGCTGGCCAGCACATATGCTCCCTCACCTGCTGAAATAGAGCTGCTAAGGCCAGAGGGAAGCTCAAAGCTCACAAGGCTTTCTGGTGGTGCTGAGTCATCCACCCAGGCCTCCAGGGCTTGGCTTCTCCGGATCGGCCTTTTCATACAGTGCAGCTGAGCAGTGAATTTCTGTGGGAGACCGGATTTCAAAGGAACCCTCAGTGCAGAAGAGAGCAGAGGCCGTTCACCCTGGTACCCCTCAATCTTTTGAAAAGACTGCTACTCTCTCCTCTTCGGTGTCTAAACTTGGCAACAGAAGGTCTAAACCATGCGGGGCAGCTTGCACAGAGAGCTGAACGACGCTGAATTGGCCATAAAAGCCCTCACATTCAGAACTCCAGCTGCACAGGTCCTGAGCAGATGTCCCATAAGTCAGCCCCAGCTGCTGCACCTGACATTCAGATTTCCCAGGGAAAGAAGAAGCGGGCCTGCAGATTTCCCCTTTCTCCTCAGGCCTCAGACTCACTTTTTTTTTTTTTTTTTTTTTAAGATAAACACATGTGAGTAGCACTGTGCATAGTGGCTGTTTCAGAAACATTGGCACTAAAGTGGAGACGTGGCTGTTTACGTGTTTCATGACGTGAACGTAGACAGCATGACTGTAGCTCACCCATTTCAGACCCCAGGATGAAGCTGTTCATGTCAAGGCTGTTACCCACAGCTCCCACAAGCCACAAGGCCCTTCCCTATCCCAGTCAGAATAATAATGGCAAAATAATCGAAGTTAGTTTCAACAGTCACCAATCCTATGCCCTCACTCAAATATCCTCCTGTGGCACGCACATAATATACTTTAAATTCTGGAGATAATTATTCGGATAATCAAGAGTCAACAGGGTAGGATTATTGCTCAGAGGCCCCGGGTTGATCCCCCAAACTGGGGGAACAAAACCCCCCACATTATCACCGCCTCCACAACTATATAGAGATTACCTTATTTTATGCCTCCAGGCTCTGCCATCCTAATGTGATAATTTTAAGGTTTCATGTGTTGCCCTTTAATCCATGATAAGAAAGAGTTTATTCTTTAGTTTTATATGAAATGCTTTAGGTTAGCAAAGGCTATATCCCCAAGAGGGTATACTGTGGAAATCATTTATCTTCAAAGAGCAAGATACTTGTAAGGAAACAAAAAGTAGAGAAGATGGACAGCAGCGGTTCTGGAGTGAAGGTGTGCTTTGAGAGCGAGATGAACACTCTAGGTGCTGCTGGGGCACATGAGACACCGTGGGGACCATTTTTGGTGGTGGCTGTCTTTTCTGGTTATCTAGAACTCAAAAACCAAGTATCTCCCTCCTTGGGTATGAGAAAGAAGGCAGCTGGGCTGCCTATGACCCATATAGGAAAAAACGGAACTAAAGGCAGGTTTAGGCATGAAGGAACCTAGTCATGTCGGATCTTTAAATACGTGAAAACCGGAAACAAATCTGGACAGTTCCAAGCAAAGTTTCACTTTTCTCCAAAGGTACCAGTCCCTGGAGTGGGAGGGAGGATGGGGTCACCGATTCAGGTCCCAAGGAGTACACAAACCCCTTCGCGATTGGTGGTTGTGGTGGTTGGGTGGGGGGAGGAGAAATAATGCTTGACTCACAGGGGTGCAGACCGCAGTGGCAATGGACCATCAACCCCAGATTCCCCCCACCCCCCATCGTGGTGACAGCTTTAGCTTCCCTGCAGATACCTCACTCAGGGCACCCCACGAGGGCTCTGGCGGGACAACGCTTCTTGGACCTGAAAAGCTGCCCACTTTACCTTTTTGCTTGTTGAAGAAGGGCAGAGGGGGCATCAGGCAGGGACCAAGCAGCCCGGGACTCTCGGTGGTGGCCTCGGGTCTTTGACTGGAACTCACAGCTTCCTCCTCTGGCTTCTGCTGCTGTGATGTGGGCGGCTCGGGGGCCGGGGCCCCGTCTCCGGAGGACAGCTCGGGACGGGGTTGGAGGTGGGTGGGACCGAAGCTGAGCACCGGGCAGGGCTCCGCGGGGCCCTGGAGGCTGGGCGCACGCTCCTCGGCGGCCCGAGTGCCCGTCTCCTCGCGGATGGCGTCCAGGGCGCTTGGCTTCATCGGGGGTGAGTCCTGCTCGCGCTTGGGGCTCTCCTCCGAGGCCGAGGAGGCGTCGCAGGACTCGATGATGAGCTCGCTGTCCAGCTCGGCCTCGCGCTCCTCGCGCAGGATGCTGTACTGGATGGACGGCGAGGCAGGAGACGGGGGCGGGCCCGACACGTGGCCGAAGCTCACGTAACCGGAGGGCAGCGCATCCTCCGAGGCCATGGGGTCCTCTGACACCAGCTCAATCTCTGAGTCCCCGGACTCTGCACTGCTGGCCTCGTGGTCCAGGGGGCTGGGGATGGTGGGCAGCCCGGATTTGGCCTTGGCTTTGGGTCTTTCAGCCACCTGGCCCGCTGGCCTTGGACTCTCGGTGGTCTCATATGATAACCCCTTGGCTTCTTTAATGGCAGCAATCAGCTCATCCTCGGAGACGCTGCCTTTCCCCTGGGACTCTGCAGCAGATGGTTCTGTCGTCCCACAGAGAGAAGGAGAGCCAGAGAGGCACACACACGGACAGACAGATGGACAGAGAGAGAAGAAATAAAACAAAATTCCATTAGGGGAGATGTTTTGTCGTTGCTTGAGAAACACACATCTCATTAGTACAGAAATAGTCTGTTTCCAGGGCTTTGCTGGAAAGGCAAGCTACCTAAGGAAGGCTAGTTACTGTTGCGGCCCAATGAATTTACATACCTATCCATCTCAATCTAGCTGGGCTTTACATTTCCCATGAGAATGCTTTAATTCTTAAAGCCTAAAATGTAAAGGTTTTGTTGCTTCTCCCCAACCAACCGGGAGGATTATGAGCTCTACCATCCCACCACGGGGCTGGCACCGCGGTGGGCCACTGTTCTGCTTCGTCCACCCCCTCTTGAGGAGACATCAACTCAGAGCCACCTCAACCCCTGGGGCAAGTGTCTGCCTTCTGCGTGGTGTTCCTCCAGATGGCCTGAGGCCACCCTGGCAACCTTGCTGAGTCTGGCTGCTGGGATCACCATGACAACAGTGTTCAGGAGTTTGGGGGTACTGTGTTGCTATAGAACAGACAGGGCCTTTCCTCTGGGTAACTTAGACAGCCATCCCTGGACTTTATGTGGCAAGAACCCATAGCTTCCTACCAAACATTAGGGTCACTGTGGAGTCCTAGGGAGGCAAGAGAACCAAATTATTATGGCTAGCTACATCATCTATAGCTCTAGGATTCTGAGAGAACCCAATAAAGTATTTTAGAGTTTAAAAATTCTCTACAAAGCAGGATCAACTTTTCACATAAGCAGGGACAAAAGCCCAAATGATAAGGGATCACAACACACAAACAGTATGTATAATAACGAAGTAAAGTGCACAGAATGCTAGATGGTAGCAAGTGCCGAGAGGGAAAAGCAGAGTCGGGTAAGGGAATCAGACGTTCCGGACAGGGTGGGATGAGGTTTCAGCTTTAAATAGGTCGGATGAGCTTTTTGTAAGAGGTGGACCTCGACTCAACGCTTGACTTCCAAAGGAACAGTGCCAATGCCTGGAGGTGGGACTCGCCATGATCTAGAGATACCAAAAGGAGGCCTGCATGCCTGGAAGGCCTTGTAGCTAAGGGGAGTGTGGTACAAGAGGTAGAGGCAGGGTGGGTGTGTTGGAGCTTGTGAGGTGGTTGCACTGGAGGAAAGGGCAGTCACTGGAGCGGAGAACGATGCACTCTGTGTTTTAAGTGTCTTCAGTGCCTCTCCCGAAAACATACGTGCAAGTAGCGTTACATGGACCAAAACGTTTATATTGAGGAATATATATATATATATATATATATTGAAAGACCCCAGCCTCACACTAAGTTAAACATAGCTAACGCCATTTTGTGAGACACCACTGTTTTGTAAAACTCTGAAGGCCAGATGAGAAACTGGAAAATTACTGAGAAATCCTAGCTGTGTCACCCACTTGGGATATCTGTGGTCAGGCTGCCCCAGTCATACTAAAAACAGTTTGTGTTAATCACTCTCATAGATATCTGTGAGACTGTTTCAGCTAAGATAGGGAAAAACAAAATAACAGGTGGCGGGCCACGTCAAGGGGTCATCCTACCCCCCTTGACCACCCAGCTCCTGGAATCTTGGTGCCCCTGCCAAACTTTGACGCAAATCGTGGTCTCATGAAAACGTACCAATCAGCCCCCTGTAACCATGCCCTCTCGCTTCTGTACCAGTGCTTCTGCCTCTAAAACCCTATAAAAACCCCAGCTTCCCATCTAGGGGGCGCGCAGGGCTCTCTCGAGTGACCTTGCTGCCCCGAGTACTCGTGAATCAAAATAAAAGCCTCTTGCTGTTTGCATCCGAATGGACTCATTGTTCTTTGGGAGGGGGTCTCTCTGACGGAAGATACCCTCCGGGGATCTTTCAATATATTCATATATGTGTGCAATAAGAATCAGTGAAGAAGTCATGAACTAGAAGGAGAGTGGGAAAGGGCAAAAGGGAGAAATTGGGGGGAGGAAAGGGAAGGGGAAAATGTAATTGTATTACAATCTCAAAATAAAATTAGAAAGCAAAACAACTGCCTCATTCTCTCAAACTTTTTGACAATTTTTGCGTTTACTACCTCAAACTACTTTCATAATTAATTGTTACATAAGCCCTTGCTTGGAAGAGAATATTCTTTGGCCTTGAAAAAAACACGAGGGATGAAATACAGGTTCGAGATAAAGCATACCTCAAGTTACTGTGCTAAGTAAATCATGGAAAACTGCAAATTATATTATTTATAAATTTATATAAAAATGTTTAAAATAAGCAAATACACAGAGACAGACTGTAAATTGATGGTTTCAGGGGATGGGAAAATTGAAAGGTAACCAGAGAAGGACCCGGGTTTCTTTGGGGTTAACAAAAAAGCTCTAAAATGAGATGATGGACTACAACACTGTGAATACACCAAAGACCATTGCAATGCGTGTTTTCAATGGTTGAGTGAGACTGTTATTCTTTTTTAAAGCAAGATGAGATGCAAGGAGGTTTGAATTTGATCTCTGCTCAAGTTGCTGCCCCAAGTCACAATGGATGAGCAAATTAAGTCTAATCATAGCAAAGATGTGGATACCAAGCAGAAAGCGGTTACCTCAAAACCTCAATTCAAGTACTCAGGGAAAGTTCTGGATGGTGTATCTGGAAGGGTCAGCAGGTCACTGGCCCCGGGAAGCAGTTTAAGGCTCATTGTCTCATTGGTGTTATGGATGCTGGAGTCAGTTCTAGAGAGAAAGTGGAAGGATGTGCTAAGAGGACAGGGCGGCAGTGAAGGGTAGAAATTAGGACGACTTAATGAGTTTGGGGGGACCACAGGATGAAAGAAAGGAAATTCAAGAAACACCGAGGACAGAGAAATAAGGGGCCCCAGGGTCTGTTTTAAATGAATGAGAGAAATAGGTCAACAGTCACTCAGGTTGAAGTCGGGTGAGTAAACGAGCCAGGATTCCACAGCACCGAAGCACGGAACTCAGACAATGAGCTGGTCCAATGAGCAGTTTCTGGGACGTGTCTTCCCTCCCTAGGGTGCACCCCCCTCTGCGTTCTGACGGTGAAAGCCCCTGATCGCTTCAGCTAACCGGACTGGCCCAGCTCCTGTTTGTCTGGCATTCCTAGGAGCCCACACTCTGCCTGCTGCTGCACGCTGAAGGAGGTGGGTGGGTATCCAACCATTGTGCCCAGCTGGAGCCTTGGGGATGACGATGTGCTGCGTCTGTGTCTTCATTATCCTCTACCCGACTCTCAATGGCCATACACTTAAAGAAGAGCCAGGGAGCATGTAGCCACTGTCACTGCCCTGGCAGCTTTTTCAGTGCCTGGTACACGGGGGGTAGAAAGAACATTCACGTGAGCCTTCCCTCAGAATGTGAAGACGGTGGTTTACTATTATCATTAGCATGAAAATAACAATAATTATCATTATTGTTGTTTATTATGTTACGTCCACTCATGCTTGCAGGTGATGTATGTGGAGGTCAGAGGTCGATCCTGGGCATCAATCTCTATGTATGACATGGCAGGGTGGTTTCTCCACCCTGCTTGCCAGTTCATTTAGTCTAGCTAGCACATTCTTATACTTCCCTGTCTTCATCCCTATAGCACTGTGGTTACAGATGGGCCAATATGCCCGCCCCCCCAACATTTATGTGGGGGCTAGGGCTCTGAACCGTGATCCTCACCCTTACCTGGCAAGCACTTTACCCAGGGAGCCATCTCCCTGGCCCGGAACCCTGCTTCTTAACCGCAGCTCACGTCTGAGGGGTGCAGCTCACTGTTGCCCTCGGAAATGGTAAGTTAACAGGCGAGGTTCTGGGTGGAGCCCAGACCCCTGTGTTCCGTAACTCTGCCTGGGACTCTTCACAGCTAGGGCTGTTCTCCCCGTTGGGTTGGTAGATTTGGCAAGTAAGAATACAGGACATTGCCCCCAGCTGCGTCCCAGAATGTAAGGGCTATTGCTGAAGACACTACATACTTCTAAGCAGGAATTAGAGTAACTGAGTAGGAACTGACCCTAAAGACTAGCCCTCAGCGTATCCAAAGGTGCTATCGAAGCTGACAAGGGAAAAAAGAAATCAATAGTTCTCTCCAGCTTTAAGACTATAAAACCACAGCAATGACCAGCACAGCAAAATGCTCCTAAGGATGCAAAAGTGCTACTTATGCCTTGGAGGTAACCAAAAGCTATCTAATTGAACTTAAGGCCTGCTCAGTAGGAGGGAATACATGCCTGGAAGCCCAGACAAATAACTGCCTGTGGCTAGAAAGGTCATAGACCCTAGATGTCATGCTTCTCTTTCTTGAATAAACTGCTCAGAAGGCTGGCACTTGCATCCTCCTAAATTAATACAGTTTCTAACCATATTCGAGATAATTATCCTTATACCCACAGGTACCTATACCTCTCACCCCTCACCAAAGAAGCAGATGGAGGCTTGCACCTCAGAGATCCACACCTGGTCCTAAATACAGAAAATAAATTTCGGTGGAGATCCCAGTCCCGATTACTATGTCTACAGTGCATCCGCTACACCTAAGACTCAGGGAACCAAGTAGAAACTTTGTAACACCCAGAGGACCAGGATGCCTCCTGTGAGACAGTGTCTTCTGGACCGGGCAGGGAAGCTGCAGGTAGCATCTTGGCTAGACGGCTGCCTAAAGGAGACCTGCACAATGACAGCGCCAGTCTACATGCCAACCTGCAGGGTGGGATTTCAAAAGGTCCAACCCTAGGTAAAGAGCTATGAACAGATGGTAGGGTGTGGTCTCCTAGGAAGGATGGAAAAGCAGGCGCTGGGCCAATCCCATTAGCTAAATTCACTCTGTGTCTCTCTGTCTCTGTCTCTCTCTCATTCTCTCTCTCACACACATATTCTCTCCTCTCTCCCCCTCCTCCTCCTTGTGAGTGTACAGGTTATGTAGTGTGTGTGTGTGTGTGTGTGTGTGTGTGTGTGCAGCGTGTAGAGGCTAGGAGACAGCCTCAGGTTCTCTTCCTCAGAAGCCATCATCTTATTAAGTTTCTCCCTGAGACTTGGGGCTCCCAGTTCGGCAGGCCTGGCTGACCAGCAGCTCCAGGGATCTGACCACCTCAGCTTCTCTAGTGCTTGGATCCCAAGAATGTGACATCACACTTATCTTTTTGTACCTAGGGGCTAGAAATTGAATTTGGGTCGTCGTGGCAATGTTCACGCACTTTTACTTACTGACCTCTTTCTCTCTAGACCCTAGACTTTCCTCTTTTAAGCAAAGCCATTTTTTTTTCAGTTTCAAATATACAATCGTAGCTGGAATTCAAGGAACTAAAGAGAATAAAGTAACTGTGTGGGGATTGAAGGAAGGGGGAGGATCATTTGTTTTTGAGGTTTCCTTTTCCTTCTTGTACCACTCCTAGAGGAGCCTGAGTCCCTCCTACTCCAACTTTCCGTTACCTGGATGCAGGGCCTGGGTTATGCATATTATATGTCCTAGACAAAGTAGCCCAGCCAACGTGCTCTCCCTATAATGCCTCCAAGAGACCCAGCGGATCATGGGAGAAGAGCCAATCTCAAAGCAGTGGCATCTCCCTGCTCTGAGCTTCAGGGCCGCAGGAGAGTATTAATGCTTCCATTGGTCATCCTTACCACCCTGCCTCACCACCATCACATAAAGATAGAAAACACTTTACAAAAGAAGCTCAAGAGGGCTTTAAGGGGAACGCCAGACTAAAACCTGTGTGTTAATTAAATCACTTAAACTGAATGTGATGTAAAGGCACGTCACAGGCAAGCATTTTGGATGTAAGTCTTCGTCCCTTCGAGCGATGGAACCTCGGCCCTCCACAGGCTGGGGTTTCCCAGGGTGGAAAGTGACCAGTGTCATTACCTGTTCCGGAAGATGGAGGAGTGACAGACCCCGGACTGTCATCTTCAGGCTCCGAGACAGTGACGGTGGGGACGGTGTCAGGACTTGGCTTCAGGCACAGGTCTTGCTTCTCAGGGACAGTCTCGTGTGTGGCAGCCAGGACAGAAGGCTCAATCTCAGTCAGTGTGATCTTGACAGGGGCAGTGACCAGAGGCGCCCTGTGCTGCCCATCAGGGAGCTCATCTATGTAAGGAGCAAAGGTAGATTCTTCAAATAAGTGGTCCTTGATGAGCTTGCCCTCCACGGGAGCTGGTTGCTCGGGTGCCCGGACCCCTCCTGGTGTTGTGGAGACTTCAGTGTCCTTGTCTTTAAAGCCCAAGTCTTTACCTTCTAGCCCAGGTTGATGCTGCTCCTGGCCTTTTGCCTCCTGTGGCCTGGTTATGTCAATGTATTTGTAGACTTCTGCTTTCATCTGGTCCAGGGGGTCAGCTAGGATCTTGTTCACTTCGGTGGACTCAGCAGGAGTCATCTCTATTCCAGAATCAGAACTCAATAAGCCGTGCGGCTCCATCCCAGGCACTTCCGGTAAGGAGGGTCCAGGGGTCCCCAGCTCCTCGGTGCTCTCGGAAGTGGTGACGTGACCATTTTCCTTTTGAAGAATTCCTGTAAAGTATGCAGAGTCCTCCCGGGGTGGATAGCAGACGTCAGAAATCAGGGATGTGTAACACGCCCCTTCCCCGTCTTTGAGTGTTGAAGAAGGGTCATCTAGGGCATCAGAAACAGCCGACACACCTGTCAATCAAAATAGCAACAGAGTGTTAGCAGGCACCAGGCCGGAAGCATTTCTCTCCTACCTAATCTACCAGCTAGCCCTTGCTGAGAAAACACAACATCCTTTCTCTCGACCCTGGCGCATCCGGGACCTGATTTTTCCTTGTCCACCCGATAGTCTACAACTCTGCTATTTTCCAGGCGACAGACCCAAGCAGTTCACTGACTTTCAACATCTGGTACCTTAATATACGGTGAGTTCATTGACTTAGTTTTGTCAAAAAATAAAATAAAAAAAAGGAAACTCCTCACATTGATATTCTTAATAGGCCCTGAAGTGGGGTGGAAATGGAAGTGAGTCTCAGCTTGTACAGGATCGACAGCGTAGACAGCTGGGAAGTGGGAAGGGGCTGCCCGTGGAGGCTCACAGGTCTGTGCCTCAAAGGCTCCAGGGCCTGCCCTTGCACTCTAGGGGCTTCTGCTGCCTTCAGGTTACGACCGTCCTCCTAGTTTGGAGCCTCATCCCAAAGCGTCATTGTCTGAACAGTGTGCTTCTCTATTTCTCCGGGTCCCCTCACTGCCTCTCTCCGGTTCTGCTTCCAGCGAGCTGGCTGGCCTTCCACGAACACCAAAACACCACCCTGGGAATATCCTTCCTTCCGCTGGTGCTCAGGGAAAAACATGCTGGTAAGCTTGAGTTCACAGAACGAACGTTTCTGCCGAGTCGTCTTTCCAGCCCCACTAAGGCACTGGTTGTAGGAGAGGAGGCCGAAGCGGCTCAGCAAGTCTTAAAGGCACTTTAAGCTCGGCGACTTGAAATCAGTCTTCAGGACCCAGACAGTGGAAGAAGAAAACAGCTTCCCACTGTTGTCCTCTGAGGTCCGCAGGTACATCATGGCAATGTGTGACCCCAACCCAATAAAATAAAACTGTTTTATTTATTTTTTATTTTTTTGATGAGGGAAAAAAAAAAAACATTTCTTGACGCTAATAGAAGCAAATAGGTATCAATATCAACTTACTGGGTGCTCGGCAATGGGGTGTTGACCTGATTCTTTCTTGCAATAGTTTTGTACATTAAACCTCAGGGTCTTGATGTCTACATACAAACTACACACGTGTGTAAACGCAGACACAACATCCTAGACACACCCGAAAAATATTCCAGAAAGAGTGATCGTCTTCTGCAAACGTGATCAGTGTGGAAAAACCTGCAATAATACCTCTGACTTCAGTGAAAAATGAGTCAAAGCCAAGCAGCATTCACATGGTGAACATTTGGCCTGTGCAACGGACTGGATGGACACTAGCGAACTTCCAGTGCTTGATGGTGTGAGGGCCAAAAGCACGCCCATGGGACGCTTGCCAACTGCTCTCACATGCCTAGATACAGAAAGCCATCTTTGTCAAGGGATGCACCTTCCTGGACCCCACAGCACACCCTGTGGTTATAAAACAGAAGATTCGAAGATCAGCAGAGGAAGCACAACAGCACAGATGTTCTGTTCTCATCGGATGGCTCTTCCCCCCCCTCCCTCCCATCCCCGGATTCTCTGAGGTGATGCCTCAGAGAGCAGGAGCTTCCCAGATGCCTGCTAAAAGCATGCATGCATGCTAAAGACAGAGTCCAGATCATAACGGGAGTATCTGAGAGTGCATATAAATAGAGCAAACCATGGAGAGAACTCTTTGACCCAAAAGTCTGACCCAGCCAGCTTGATCTTACTCAAAGGCTCTTAACCTTAATTGGAAGAACCTTTGTCCCACCGCAAATACTACCAGCTAGGGAATTAGGAAGAGGAAGAGTCATTGTGAGAACTCCAGTGTTTGTGACAATTATGAAGGTTATAGTTCCAGTTACCAACAACTCAACAGTTTAAAATTCCCTAAAGTCTAAAATTTAAACGAGAAAAACAAGCAAAGAAGCTAAAAACAATCTAGAATCGTAGAGTTAAAAAGCCAAATGCTAAAACCTTGAACAAATCTCTTAAACCGCAATTCCCACCGAGCAGAAGTGATTTTATATGAGTGTTGAGAGATAAACGGCTGGGGAAGAAGCTGGCCGTTTTTGGGCATACACAGAATGATTGGGTGCACGGATACCTACCAGCTAATGATTTTATTTTTTAATGACCGAGGAAGGGGTCCAGGAAATACTATGTGTGAGTCATGGTGGAATAGATCTACCCCAGAGAAAATAAATGAGAACATCTGTGAGGAGAGACATGCGCCCCCTCCTCCGAAAAAGTACAACCATAGCCAATTCATTGTGATATAAGATATCAAAATATAGCTAAATGTTACAAAGTAAACCTCCTGCAGAGAATGCTGCTGTGTAATGGCTATAATCTGCCCTGTAAGTATGCTTTTTCATGTGTTGAATTTTGTGATTTTTTCCCATTACCTCAAATTGTCAGCATGCATATTATAATTTGTTATACCCTGTATTTCAACTTCACATCAAGTTCAAAATTATTGTTATAAATAAATTATGTTATATGTATCGAGACTTCTATTTTCATTTCCTGGTTTCTGGAAATTTCTATGTGAGAACTGTATTTACATCATTTCCACCTCTCCCTCTCCCCTCCCTGGTCCTTCTGTGTCCTCCCACTCCTTCTCTAATGCATGACCTCTTGTTATTATACACATGAGTGCGTGCACACATACACACAGACACAAAACACATGTATGTACATATATATATATATATATATTTATATATCCTGCTGAGTCCACTTTAGTGTTGCTCATATGAAAGTACCCAGGAATAACTGCTTGGGATAACCTATCACAGGGCTTTTCCCTGGAGAAACTGATGCTCTCTCAGCAGCCATTAATGGTATGTAGGTGTTTATTTAGGGGCGGGGCCTTATGAGATCTACCCCTTCCATGTTAGCATGTCGACTGGTCTTGTCATTGTGTGGATCCTGCTTAGGAGAGCACGCTGTTAAGATTTCACGGGCGCAGCTTGCCTGAGTTACACAGAGGGTAACCTCTCATGGCAGATAGCCTGTTCCTCTGGCTCTCGCAGTCTTTCGGCCCCCTCTTCCGTGATATTCCCTGAACCTCTCCTGAAGGGGCTGTGTGTAGATCTATCAACGGGGGGCTCAGTTGTTTTCTGTATGTTGACTGCTTGTGGATTTCTGTAAAGGTTTCCCTCTGCTGAAAAGAAAAAAAAAAAAAAAGGTAGTTTCTTCGGTTCAGGGTGAGCACTATACTTACTGCATAAGGGTAGGTCTTTAGAACATGTTTAGGAATTACACCAGTTTAAGAAAGTGGCAGCAGCAGGCTCTCCTCTAGGTGTCAGGACCCTCTGAGCCAGGAGTAACTGGCTGGGTTTATAGTACCAACCATAAATCCCCTTCCATTGAGCAAGCCTTAAGTCCAGCTAGATGGCTGTTGGCTGGCTACCCACCCCAGCCCCATTGAATATCTCACCGTTCCAGTCACTGCTGTGGTCTAAAGGCTTTACAGTTGTGGGGAACTAATGACTGTTTTTTCTTCCCTGGGCAGCTTGGCTAGCATCCTTAGAAACTATGAGAGCTGGTCCTCAGGGAGGAGGCATCCAGGTCCGTTCCAGTTTGATTCCTTCAGTCCTTCGTCCACAGTGTATGCTGTCTTCAGCCTTACGGTCTAACCCTTCAAGTTCTGGGAGGCAACTAAAGCAACAGCCTATACTATTTGGGGATTCTCCCTCTGTATTGTCCCAGTGGCCCCTTACCAGTTAAACTATTCTGTTTTCCCATGAGCCTTCACAGCACCTGTGTCCTACTACCATCTCCAGAGCGCCCTACCCTGTAACCCCTTTTTATTTTCCTCGTTTCTGCCATCACCCTGGAGTCCAGACTCAGTACCTAAAGATTCTCACCTAAGAGTCACAAATAAGAAAGGACACAGAGTGTTTGTCCTTTGGCATCAGTGTGTTATTTTCTCAGTTTGTTCATTTACCAGAAAACTTCATGCTCTCATTTTTCAGTTCCGTTCTGCATATGCAGCACATTTCCATTACCCATCCATCAGCTGAAGGACATTTCAGTACTTTCCATTTTGCAGCTATTGTAAACAGAGCAGCAACGAACTTGGCTGAGCAGGTATCGGTGGAATAGAGCACCAAGCCCTGTAGGCATATGCCAAGAAGTGGTATGGTAGGGAAATACAGAATAAAACGACTTGAGGATTTCTTCTTACACTAGTCAGAATGGATAAGACAGAAAAAAACAACCAAACACAAGTGTTGATGAGGATGGGAGGGGGGCACTATGGAAAGTGATGTGGAGAATTTTCAAAAAGCTAAAAGCAGACCTCTGTGGTAGTTTGGATGAGATGGCTTCCTTAGTCTAGGGCATTTGATTGCTTTATTTTTATTTTTTAATGATTAAAAAAAACAACTTTTGTGCACTGGTGTTTTGTTTGCACATATGTCCGTATGAGGGTGTTGTATCCCCTGGAACTAAAATTGAGGTGGTTGTGAGCTTCCTGTGCTGGGAATTCGATCCAGGTCCTCTAAAGGAGCAACCAGCGCTCTTAACCACTAAGCCCTAACTTTTATTTTATGTGTATGGATGTTTTGTCTGTCTGTATGTCTGTGTACCACATACGTGCTGTGCCCATAAAGGCCAGCGAGGATTGAAGATACCAAGGACACCAGGCCTTTCTAGACGCAACAGGACTGAGACACTCGTGAACACACAGAGACCATTGCAGCATGCAGAAGGCCTGCACAGGTCTAAGCCAGACGGAAAGAGCGAACCCAAGTCTCCATCCTTAACCGAGCAGCCATCTCCAGCTGACAGCTGCTCACAAAGGGAAGGGAGTTTTCTCCAGTGGACTCTCTAGGTACTCAAACCAGACTTAAGGGTAGGCCCCGTTCCCAGCAGAAAGGAGATGCCCAACACAAATGAAGTCAGTGGTGTAGGGGAATTTCTTTTTCCTTACAGGGCTTTTGCCAATTTCGGTTTTCAATTTTGTGTTTTTACGGAAAATTTATGTGCAAATGTATGTGTCTCTGTGTCATTATG